TGTGGGAACAAAGTTGTCTTGATTTAAACAATTAATGGAATAAACAAAATAATGATCTGCAAACTAATTGTAACTAACGATGATCAAAATATCATAAACTGTTTCACCATATCTCTGTAACTGCTATGCTTGTCCACGCAGCTTGTGCACATACTGTAGGCCTTACTGTAGTTTATAACCTTAATTGCTTTTTACATAGCATACTTTTATTTGTAAACATCCCTTTCATACTTTTATAAAAACAATCTTATCTTATATAACTGCAGATACAACAAAGTATTACATGAGGCTTGTGGTTCCAATAATTTTTGTGGTGTACTCAGAGAAAACTGCAGTGTACTCAGGAAGTGCAGCGTGAAGATTTATTATGAGAGCACGTGGCCTATATATAAATTAATCAATCTGGAAGAATACAAACAGAAGTAGCACATCTGCTTCTCGGTCTGAAAACAAAATGCGTAATGCTTAATGTTGATCATTTAGCTGGGGGCGATGGGGAATGTTTTTGTGAAAATAAGGTCAACCTTTACCCATTTTGTGAATAGCCGGCAGCATTTATTACATCTACAAAATGACTTTATCTCAGCACTGCACAGGTGTGGGAAATCACACATGCTTTACTGAAATGGATTGTGTTTTGCGGCTGTGATTTCTAGAATGAAATGATAAGCAAATTCAACTTCAAGATTTTAACTATGTTAGTCGAAACTCCAATTACTATGAAAAAGGCTTTTCCCTTTCCTCCTTGGATATCCGTTTGGCACAATTTACTTCTCTGTCTTAAAAGCTGGAGGCTCTAACAGCCTCAAGGATGTCTCCTCAAACATGTCCTGCACTATATGAGAGATAGGTGAACCGATAATCATTCCCTCTCTCTATAGGTTCACGATTTGTGATTTTACTTTGACTGTCAAACTTTCAAACTAGGTTGTGATACCGTAAGGTATGATGGATACCTGAATGAATGTGTGATGAATTCTTGGGTTTCGTATGACGTCAGGGCAGTGGTGCGAATAACAAACGTAGGACAGGACGTGACATACCCAGGCGGTGCAGTCTGCCGGGTTCATACACGGAGATATAGTAGAAGAAGAAGCGGTTTATACACGGAGATGAAGTAGAAGAAGACCGCACAAATAGAGAGAAAGACAAGACTTTCTTTCATGTTCCAACTGTGGTCTCATATAAAGGAGAACACAAAAAATCACTGGAATGAGGCGGGCGAGGTGGATCAAGGCTTTCCTAGATAAGCGCCCCCTGCAGGCCACCCGAATGAAACGCAGCAATTTCTTCTGTTTATTTTTTTTAAATGCCCGAATCAAGACTCTTTTGAGAAATATTTTTTTATATTCAAAACGGACACGATTTACATGGTTTTCAATGGGAGCACAACTGAGTTGTCCCACCTCTGCTCATTCTACACGCCAGTTTAATGAAACCCAAAAATGTAAGTGCTGGTTTACTTTAGCACAGACACGGTCAACATGTGCACTGTGCAGTCTGTGGGTCAAAGTAAATACCCAGTTATTTATAAATTGTGACCTGCTCAATATCCTGGTCTTTAATGGAGACCACACTATGATCTAATGATTAAGTAATATTTTGTTAACAAATCAAACAATAATAATTTGAAGAAAAAAAAAACATGCATGTGAAAATGGCGTGGAATGCAATGTAATAAAATTTTTATTTTATAGATAGTTACTCGGACAAGTTAAATCAGACAAGTTGACAAAATCTGTATAAGCAAAAATGTTGTGTCACCATTGCATAGCCATAATTTACAGTTATCATCATGATACCAATTATCATTATCATCAATAATTTTCTATAATGACAGTCTTTGTGTACAATGTATATAAGAGGCTTTTGAAAGCACTAATTGGGACGCATGGACCATCAACAGAGAGTGAGCTATTACCCCAGCTCTCTTTGCCAGAGACCTCCATGCTGCCGGACGCGTGGTCATCAGCATATATGTAAATGTATCCCTGAGATGTCTGCAGACCGGCAGCTTTAGACGCCCTGTCCCCCATGGTCTGGAGCTGTATCCTGCATGTGTGCGAGCAGATGATACTGTTGGCCTGGGTCCCGGCTGAGATATGAGCAGTTCTGAGGAGTAGGCAGCGCTTCATATAGAGTTTGTTTTCATTATGCAGTGGTATGACACAGGGAAATGCCATACTTGTATTTTATGGACACACACTGGAGAAGCAGTCCCTCTGTGTTTCACTTGTTTCATTGTTTTGTTTTTGTTAATGTGAAGCAAAAGCAAAACTTTACAGGAAACGGTGCATTTAATTCAACTGCGGAAATGTATGCTGCTGCAGTTGAGAAAATTAAAAGTAAACTTAATATCACGTGATTGCAATTGTTACTGTTGCATTTAGCCTGACTACAAATGTTACTGTGGTGATACTGGTGGCCACATCTGTCAGTGTGCCCCAGGGCAGCTGTGGCTACAGTAGTAGCCATAGCTGCTCTGCCAACTGAGGCGACAGTAGCTCAGTTGGTAGAGCGTTGGCCTTCGAGCCAGAAGGTCGTGGGTTTGAGCCCACCTCAAGACTTTCACCATCGACTCCCACTGTCTGTTGTCGCTGTGTACTTGGCAAGACACATGCAGCCTCGCGGAAATTCAACTCTGGAAGACTGACGGCTAAAGCCACCCCTTCAAGGCCGGCCTCGCATCCTCAGCCTATCGCACAGCAAACGCCCATTTTCAACCAACTTATGCTGGTCAAGCCAGCAGCTTAAAAGTGGAGAAACTCCCACTTTACAGCCTTCTCAAAGCCTTGCAAATCACCGCCTCCCCTCCACCTCCTTTTCTCACCCTGCCTCAAGCATGCCTCTTTCCTGTTGCCCGAATGCCACCACCAGTGCCTAGGTCCCGGGGGGATTGTGCGCGCACTCACGCAGGAGCCTCGCTGACTAAACTCAGCACCGGGGCCTAGGGCGCCAAACCACCTTTCAATAAAAACATTCAAAATGCCTTTTGTCTTCTGAAGTCTCTCCAGATTGAATTAACCTCTGGAAACACCTGATGCCACAGTGGGGAGGCTGCGGCTGTAAAGTGCCAAACTGCCGTTGTGTCCTTAGGCAAGACACTTCACCCCCATTGCCTAGAATGAGTCTGGTGAGTGTGTGACTGGTTGGTGGTGATCGGAGGGGCCGATGGCGCATACTGGTGGCCTCGCTTCTATCAGTGTGTACTATATAAAACTGATGCATTATTATTATTATTATTATTAGTTTATAACCACTGTGTATGGAGTGATTCAAACATATTAGCATCTAAAAAAGCACTTTATAAAATCAATGCCTTATTACTTTTGTGCTTATACTGAATCAGCTCCTCCAATGTACATTGGAGTATTTGCTTGTATTTTAGACAAGCTAAACTACAAGAATATACTACAAGAATATACTCATAATCAAATAAATGTCTTTGTTGTAAATCGTGAATCTCTCTATGGTACCATCATTTGAAGCAGGTTTGTTCCTGTTCTAGAATTCCACTACAGTTGTAGAGCAGGTGCCAATACAATTCTATGCGAAATACGATCATTATTTATCAAACCCATATGCACATGTTTTTGGATACAGTATGAGTAAATAAATACCCCATAGTTGAAAATGTTTGTGAATTAGCTCTAAATTAAGATTAGAAATTTGGTTTTTGCCCAGATTATTCCTCTGTGCTTCAAACTGTAGACTTTTTGGAATGTGGTAAAGTCACATGAATGCAATCAATTATCAACTACATAACTTTTTTTTAATAAAACTGCAGCTCCATGTAACATATTTTCTGTACATAAACATCGGTCATGTCACCAAAAAAAATGAACCTTTGAAACGTATCAAAATGTTCGAGCAGACGAGCAGATGCTGTGAGGCTGTCATTTTGCTTTCTGAAGGCCAAGGTTTATGTACAGTTCTGCAGGGTGACCACACATTGGCTCTGGCCTTTTCCCTTTTATATCCATCTAAAATATACTGTAAATATCTTCTTCACTGATCACACCAATCTTCTCACCCAAATTACACAGAAAATTCAGTTGAGCAGTATGCCTGAACCAATTTTAAGACATTTTTCAATCTAGCTTTATATTGTACGTGTACATGTTTATCATAAGAAACAATGAAACGGTATGTAATAATTACGGATCTGAGGATTTCTGTTTGAGAATCGATGGCTTAGTGAAGCAATAGTGTCTCCTTTTTAGACAAAAAAACACCACATTGAATTCATTCATAACATTTAATACATCAACAAGAAGCAATAATTTCTCTAATGACAGTCTGTAAATATAAACATAACGGACAGACTGAGTTTCAGACTAAGCTAAAAGCAAGTGGCTGCTGAGAAATGTTCTGAATGGCCAAGATGGAAGATGCGTCACTGATTTGCAAATCTAATGTAACATTTAAATAATTCTTTTTGTGCAGCTCCATACCAGAGCTGAGATGTGAGAGAGACGGGGAACTTGGAACTGCAATCTTGAATAACTTGGAAATACACATCACATATTCAGATTGGCGTTCCCTAGTGTTGGCTCTTATTTCTTATTCCATTACACTTCTTGACCTGTTTCACACGAGAGCATACATACTTATCAACACTAGGGGACATGATTCACTGTTGTCGTTTTCTGGATACAATCTCTGTGTGCAAATTGATGGGTTTGACATTTTGCTTTGTGTATTTAGGCAGGTTATCTGCTGTTTTTTATCTTTCTTCACAACTCGAAACTTTCTATTTGACTAATCTTGTATTAGCATTGTCTGTTTCAACCTTTTTTCTTTACATTTTCTTCCCTTCTCTGACTTCACTCCCATATTCAGGAATAATTCTGGAGTCAGGAGAATGAAACTGAATGTAAAGTAGCAAAAGTAGACCAAATCCCAATGGGTTGTCCAATATTCTGTTTTTAAATAAACAAACAAAACAAGTCACTCTCGCCGGTAGCTTAGATTGACATAGGAGATATGCCAGTTTAGTGTCAGGCATCCCCTTGGTCTAGCACCAGAGCAGGTGGTGCAGCCACCTTAGTTTTGCGTGGCAGAAGATGAGTCACTCTTCTCAGAGACGGAGTGGCGTGAAGAAGAAGCTCCTTAAGTCCTGCCCGAAACTCACGCCGGATCAGACAATAGAGCACTGGGTTAAGGCAGCTGTTAGTGTGAGCCAGACACACTGTCAGAGGGAAAGCATAGGCTTGGGCATTGTAAAAAGCCTTGCTGAAATACACCAGGTCAAACTTTATGAGCACCCCCCATAATGTCAATGCCTGATTAGGTAACCAGCACAAAAAGAATGATAGCACTACAATGATGATGGACTTAGTGACTTTGGAACGGCGCTTCTGCCTGCCCTGTTCCACTTCAGGTCCCGCTGCACTGGTGATACGCCGGCTGAGGATGACACGCAGCAGAAGCAGATAGCAGACGCTGATGATGATCAGTGGGAGCAGGAAACCCAACAGAACTTTCTGCAAGTGGTACAGACCCAAAAGCAACTGTGGATCCCAGCTGCCTGTCTCTGTGAAGCGCACCAGACACAGCTCCTCATCTGACACCTCCACACTGGTGGAATAGATGGCGTGAGGCAGAGTGGCCAGTAAGGACACGAACCAGATGCCCAGACTGGTCCACTTTGCTCGAGTGGCCGCGGCCCGTCGGCTGTGCATCTTTAGTGCAGATGATATGGAGTAGTAGCGGGCTATGCTCATTGCTGTGAGGAAAAACACACTGGCGTACATGTTCATAGTGGTTACAGTGCTGACTATTTTACACATGACACGACCAAAAGGCCAGCGAAAGTCCAGGACCGTATCCACTGCCCAAAAGGGTAAAGTCAAAACAAACTGGAGGTCTGTTATGGCCAGTCCCATCACAAAACAGTTAATAGATGACTGCTTCTGCCGGTAGCGTGAGTGTAGCAAGTAGAGAGCCAAGGAGTTGCCTACCAGTCCGAGAGCACACACAATGGAGTAGACACATGCTATCAAGATACGTACGACAAGACTTGAGTTGTCTCCTTGGAACTCCATTGTGTACTCCTTGGTAAGCAGCTTCAGCCAGCAGTGAAGCGACAGATTGTTCTCCATCCTGTCTTCTTTAACAAGTTCCGTCTGACAGAGCTCTGGAGCCATTGTTTGGACACTGCTATTGTTCAGCTGGTAACCCATTTTGTTTTGTATCTCAGAGCACTCTAAAAAAAAAAGCTAAAATTAGTAAATGCCACATTCGTCACTGGTTTTTCTCCTTCTTCCATTCTCCGCTCTACTACTCTGCACTCTGCGCTCTGTTTATATAGTGCCCTCCCTTCTCCTCAAAAGCGCGCAGACCTCCTCCTACCTCTCCCAGCACTATATGCGCTGTTTCACTTTTGCTCGCCACAGGATTGGACTGGAGCGAATGCCGAATGTGATAAGCGCAGCCACATCAAAGTCAGAGCATGTCTGTCAGGGTAAAGCTTAATGTATCGTCTTGGCACAATGTCTGCACCACCTACACAAGAGAGTCTCGCATTTTTCAGCTTCAGGACATACTGAGAATCTGAAGTGCTGTTTTAATCAGAGTCTGAAATTGTTTGCACATGCAATTTTTTGTATTTTATTTGATTGATAATGACTTTTATTGAGTAGCAACTCTTGATAGTCATATGTCATGGAAATTGACAACCAAGGACTTAACAAAACTGTTGAAATCACCAACACAGATCAGAGAATCAAACAGTTCAAGATAGAACACAAAAGTATTGGTCCATATGGAGAGACCAATGTCCATGAATGACTCACAGACAGAACCATGGACTTGTGGATAGAACCATGGACTTGTGGATAGAACCATGGACTCGTGGACAGAACCCTGGACTCGTGGACAGAACCCTGGACTCGTGGACAGAACCCTGGACTCGTGGACAGAACCATGAACTCGTGGACAACTGAGAGTGGATTTTTTAATGTTTTTTTCCTACCAGTTAGTGTCACTTTATTTCCAAACTCTTGTTAACACATTGTATTGAGAAATATTGAACAAAGCTTAATGTCAAGGCCTGGATGTCTATTTAAGCACTTTGATGAGAATGACTTGATTCTGTGAAACTAGGCTACAGAGTATGTATTTTTACTAGGGCTGTCAAAATTATCGCGTTAACTCACGTTAATGAAATTTTTCATTCATGCGTTAATAAAAAATGCATTTAACGCATGTCAGAATGACCCGCCCATGTATCCCATAATATCACTCAGAATGCCGCGGACACATGCGTGTGTGGCAACAGAGCAGGTCTCTAGGAATTCAAGTTTTAATGAAGGAGTATCACAGGATGAAGGAGTTATGGGAAATGGCCTGCGGCTTTAGGAGCTATGATCTGAAATGTTTGGATTGGTAATTCATGCTCTGGAGTTATTTGTGGATGTTTAGGTCATTTATATTCTCCATATTTTAAGATACCATTCCACCAGACCACAGGGCATTTTTGGCTGGAATGATAATAATATTAGCTCTTCAATAGCATGCAACATGAGCAGCATTTTCTAGTGAGCATTTTTTATTGACAGGGCAAATAAAAAAATGCATTTTTAAATGTGGAAATGCATTTTACTCCTTTTTATTATGTTGTTTTAAAACAAAATAGCAATTTCAGAGGTATATGTATTATGGCGGACAAAGGCACAAAAAATAAGGACAGGGCATGGTATCATTTTTGCAATAGCTTTTATAAAAGCAAATATTTCTTCATTCCAGAGGAAATCTTCATGGGTCTTGATACATTTCCCCAAAAATATAATTTCAATTCTTTCAAACTATGAAAACTCTTAATTTCATTGATGTGCTACTTCCAGCCTCAAGTTGAGGTTTGGAGGACTGGCCTTTATGTTTTAAGCCATCATGTGTTGCCACCTGGTTTCCAGAAGGCCCTAGATTTTTGCCTCTGAATCTCCATGGCTTCCACCCACAAGCATGCTTTGAGTGCGTGTAAGTACGAACCAATTAGCGCCCGTCTAAGTGGTCAGCTGTAGGCCTTCAAGAAGCCCAGATCTGTGATTGGATACTAGCATTACAGAATTGATGGTGTTTTCTCAACCCACAATGCCAGAAGAAGATATCTATATCGTGGAAGATATAACTATAATGCCAATATTAAGATTAACTTGCAAGAACATCAATGTGAGGAGAGTTTGTGCACCCTGTCACGAGCCGCCTGTCATAGAATCTGAGTTAACCAGCACTAATAACTGTGGCTTGGAATCATCTCAGTTTCACACAGCCATTATGAAGCATCATTCTGCTGCTATCAATGCATATTTTTTATTGGAACTGAATTCTGTTGTTATGGTTAATACGCGTACATCACAACAAGTGTGTTGTGCAAAGTGAGCGTGTCTAAAGTTATTAGGATAAATCGCTCTCAGGTTGCTGCTGTCACATGTGGCACTGCCCCTAAAGCTTGACAGTGTGTCCAAAGATGTGAGTAATTGGAATGACATTTGTTTTGACACATACTAGCTTCAAAGGTGAATTATCTCCACACGAAGGCCCAAAATGAGTTCTGCGCCTTAGCGATTTATTTTTCCATGGACCTTTACTTTACGCATGGCCTTGGTTTGTTTCAATGGGCCTTTTCAACAAGGTTGCTATCTTCGACTACTGTTACAAGGATCTTTTCTGAAACAGCCTACTCACACTCCAATGCACTAAACACTGACGGAGATCTGTTTTAGTGCATAAACACCCTCCCGCCCCTGGCTGCACCAAGAAATTCTGCCCATAAAGACAGTGAACAGAACCGGTGACAAAGGGCAGCCCTGGCGGAGGCCAACATGCACCGGGAAAAGGTCTAACTTACTGCCGGCAATGCGAACACAGCTCTGGTTCCATGACCGGACAGCCCTCAGCAGAGGACCTCGGACCCCGTACTCCCGGAGAACCTTGAAGTAGACCTTAGACACAGACTCGATATCCCCCTTAGCTCTCCCGGAGGTGCGAGTTGAAAGTCCGTCTGACAGGGGGCTCAGCGAGACGTTCCCAGCAGACCCTCACTATACCGCTTGGGTCTGCCAGGTCTGACCGGCTTCCTCCCCTGCCAGCGGATCCAACTCACGACCAGGTGGTAATCGGTTGACAGCTCCGCCCCTCTCTTCACACTAGTGTCCGAGACACGCGGTCGAAGGTCAGATGATACGACAACAAAGTCGACCATCGACCTCCGGCCTAGGGTGTCCTGGTGCCACGTGCACTGGTGGACACCCTTGTGCTCAAACATGGTGTTGGTGATGGACAAACTGTGACTAGCACAGAAGTCCAACAACTGAACACCGCTCGGGTTCAGATCAGGGCCGTTCTTCCCAATTACCCCTCTCCAAGTGTCACTGGCATTTCCCACATGGGCGTTGAAGTCCCCCAGGAGAATAACGGAGTCCCTGGTCGGTGCACCGTCCAGTACCCCTCCCAAGGACTTAAAGAAGTTCGAGTACTCTGTTGTGATGGCCTACGGGCCTAACACCATTGTTGAGGTGGGGGACAAGTGAGAGACCTGTCCCCCAACCGAAGGCGGAGGGGGACCCTCTCATTCACCGGGGAGAACTCCAACACGTGGCGGCTGAGATGGGGGGCAATGAGTATGGCCACCCCCACTGGCCACCTCTCCCCGCGAGAGACACCAGAAAATTGGAGCGTCCAACCCTCTCAAGGAGTTGGGTTCCAGAGCCCAAGCTGTGTGTGGAGGTGAGGCCGATTATACTAGTCGGTATCTCTCAACCTCCCCCACGAGCTCGGGCTCCTTCCCTCCCAGTGAGGTGACCTTCCACGTCCCAAGAACCAGATGTCGTGTGTGTGGACTAGGTCGCTGAGGTCTTCGCCTTCGACTGCTGCCCAGTCCTCTCTGCACCACGCTACCACGGACCCCTCTGCGGGTGGTGGGCCCACAGGAGGGACACTGACCAATTGTTCAACATATTTCCAACTACTAAAGCGCCACCTATAGACACTCTCATATTGACTCTATTTTTAAATGCAATCTAATCCTAGGTTAATAATTTTTTCTTCACGGTTTTTGTGCATCACAGCAGCAAATAACGCTTTCGTTTCCTGTGTTTTATGCTCTCATGGCCACCTGCTGCAAAGCTGATATCCCCATCACTAATGCTTGATTATGGCATGGAAATTACAAACCCAATATGTACTCTATAGCGCCAGATCATGGATCTGAATATATTTAGGTTCTGGGTTCGAATCCCGTTCGGAACAGGGCCTTTCTGAGTGGAGTTTGCATGTTCTCCCCGTGTCTGCGTAGGTTTCCCCCGGGTTCTCCGGTTTCCCCTACCACTAAAAAAATGTGCAATAGTTCAGGTTGAATGAGTGTGTGTTTGTGAGTGCGAATGTGGGACAACAGATGGAAATTAGCCCATGGCTACAATCCGGAGAGATGTGTTCATTAACATGTACTGTTCCAACCAAATAAACAATAAATAAAATGAATAAAACAAAAAGATCGGCCCAAAAAGTTAAATCCTTGCACCAAAATGAGCAAAATATTGCATTAGGCAGAAGATGTATGTACCACTGTTGACCACTATGGTTGTACTGAATCCTTTAAATTAGTTTTTTGTGGATAATCTTGGTCCGATCAGGTCACAAATTCAATCATAAATACACTGTTTGCTGTTTATTAATTCAATATGGGCAACAATATTATCTCTGTTGCGCCAACTGTAGGACTGTAGGCAATTACATCCAACATATGTGTACTTCAGCAATTCCAATATCTGAGTATATTGTGAAAATGTTTTCAAAATCAATGGAGGCACTATGTAGGTCATTTCAATGAAACAAAGTTAATCACGACAGCTGTATATTGTACAAGGCTACTGGTTCTGTGCCATGGCTCTCTGTAATTCAATGCAATGTAGCATAAAAGAGCGAAAGCAGCCCTAGCACGTGGGAGGCGGTTGCAAGAAGGAGCAAGGGCTGCTACTGCCACTTTTGGTGTTCAAGTTTGAAATCAATAATTACTATATCAAAATAAAGAAAACACCTTCAAGACACACATTACATACCTTTTGGATCGCCGTTGTGTTAAATAAACAGATACATATCACTTCTTACTAGGCCAGCATGAAGAAACGCTCCGCCGACATGTCCAAGG